TCTGAAGCATGCCACCCTGCCCCGCATGCTCAGAAAACGAGGCTCCTGGAAGGCCTGTCCACAGCCTTGAGCACGAGTGTAGACATGGCTGCTGGAATCCAGAGGCAGAAAAATGGTCGTCCGGTGGCCACCCTGCCAGGAGTATACGGGGGTCACCCCCTTCCCTGAGGCCCAGGCTTCCTTCTGTGACCGTGGCACCCAGTGACCTTCCTGGATATTGGTTACTGGACTGTGGGCCTGGCAAGTTCTGATCCCCAGATAGCATGTGACCTGGGAGTTGGAGGCCCTGCATTTCAGTTCCCTCTCTGGCTGTGGCTCAGGTTTTTTCATGGCTGCCTGGATCTCAGGCTCCCAATGGTTCAAAGCAGGGGTGGAAACAGGTCACCTGTCCACCGCTTCCTGCTGGAATATTCTAGGGTTCTAAGCTTGCTTTTTGCTCCTATGCTATTCCCACAATCATTGTTTCTTGTGGCTTCCTGATTCCAAACCTGTGTTGCTTATGCCTGATGTGGGGAGGATGGGGTCCAGATTACAGCTGCCTGCCTATAGGGGCTAGTACTGCCACACAGAAGGTGGCACACCCACAGGAAAGACCTCAAATACCCTTTCTCTAGCCCCACCCTTGTGCTTGTACATTTTCTCTGCCAGGTCAGAAACAGGGAAGATGGGAAAAGAGACCTCATCTTTCCCCCACCCACCTCCAATCTCTGACTCTCACTTTCCAGTGGGAATCCGTTTGCCTGTTACCAAGTCGGGGACTCCTATGCAGTCTGTGCAGCCTACTCTTCCGGCTTCCCCACCTTTCTAATGAGTGGCGAATTGGCTTGGAAAAGACTGCCTTTAGTGAAAGAGACCTCTCCAGAGTTCTTAAACAGCTGTGCAAGACTATAAAGGGAATTAAAAATCCTAGATCAGAGAGAGGTTAGCAAGATTTTTTTCTGTAACAGCCAGAGAGTAAATGGCTTACGATCTCTGTTGGAATTCCAAGTCTCTCCTTATAGTGTGAAAGCAGTGCTCCGACTCTGCTCAGACTCTCTGAGGGAGGCCCACAAGGCCAGGCTGGCCTCACAGGGCTCTGTCCAAGCTCGGCTCTCTGAGCGAGGTCCAGGCGGCCAGAGCCCGGCCTAGCCTCAGAGTCTCTATTTTTCTCTCTCTGTTCTTCTCTCCTTTCCTCTGTCTAAAAATCAATAAATAAACAGCCCTAGCCGGTTTGGCTCAGTGGATAGAGCGTTGGCCTGGGGACTAAAGGGTCCCAGGTTCGATTCTGGTCAAGGGCATGTACCTTGGTTGCAGGCACATCCCCAGTAGGGAGTGTGCAGGAGGCAGCTGATCAATGTTTCTGACTCTCTATCCCTCTCCCTTCCTCTCTGTAAAAAGTCAATAAAATATATTTTTAAAAAACAAATAAACAATTTTAGTTTTAAAAAAAGAAATAAACTTGTATCTTGTTCCTCTCTTTGTCTCCCCCTCCCTTTTTTTTTTGAAGCAATAGGGTTAAGATCTAGATTGAAGGGAGAGAAGGGAGGGGCTGAACAAAGGGATTTCAGAACAATACTACATTTAAAAATATATATATTTTCATTGATTTCAGAGAGAAAGGGAGAGGGAGATAGAAACACTAATGATGAGAGAGAATCATCAATTGGCTGCACCCTGCACGCCCCCCACTGGGGATCAAGCCTGCAACCCGGGCATGTGCCCTTGACCGGAATGGAACCTGGGACCTTTCAGTCCACAGGCCGATGCTTTATCCACTGAGCCAAACTAGCCAGGGCTACTGCATTTTTAAAAATTGTTGGTATTACAGATGTTCCCCAGCCTTCCCCTTTTGAATACTGTAAGTTTTTATCCCACTACGGGTAGATATTAAATTATTTCCATTTTATAAATAAGGATACTGAGGATAAAGGTATTAAGAAACTGGAGTTCTTGTCATAGAACAAGGGCGTTAGAGCCAGAAACCAAGGCTGAACTTGGGCATCTGTGTCTGCTGGTGGTAACCAGCTGTCCCTTCTTCTCCCCTATCTGGACAGTGCTGGGATCAGTCCCATCTCAGGCTTCTGGAGGCCCCTTCAGGTCTGGCTGTGCCCACCATGCAGCTCTGATCCTCACTGATTCCAGCACTCTACGGCAGGAGATATCACCCTCTTCCTGGTGCTGGGTGGTAGCACTGGGCTCTGGACAAACCTCAGCTCTGTACTTACCTTGCTGTGTGATCCGGGACAAGCATCTCTCCCCTGCCAAAAAGGAGGGGGGAAAAAAAAAGAGTCTCACTTTTCTCAGTTGTAAACTGAGGTACCTAATAGTAACCCAGCACATGTTCACCGGGCCTGCTCTGGCAGACAATGTGCTAGAAGCTGGGAGTGCAAAGGGGAGTGAGGCTGTCCCGGTGTCCCTATGTCCTAATGGAGCTGTGCCTACCCGGCATGGGAGAGGGCATACTGTAGGCATTCAGGGAGGGAAGTTGTCTTGTGGGGCAGGATTTACATGACCTGCTGCTGGCAGCCCAGCAGTCCCGCTTGCTCAGTGGTGTTTCCTTCTGATCAATGAGTGCCTTTGTCCCTAAAGGACTTGCTGTCTGTGGCTTTCTTGTCTCATCTGACACAGGGCCCCAGAACAGATGGCAAAGCAGTTGGTATCCTCGGCTATTTTTGGTGGGGGAGTTAGTGGGATGTGAACATGGTGGGGCCCAGGTGGTCTCAGACACTGGGAGCTTCACAAGCAACAAGTTGGGGTGGGGGAAGGATGCTCCCTCCAGGATTTTGTGGGCAAATTCACGTACCTTTCACGATAGGGTCAAAGGCCATTTCCTCTGTGCAACCTTGTTTGATTTCCTTTGTGCAACCTTGTTTGATTTCCTCAGTGGAGCACACGCTCCCTCCAAAGATGCAGGTTAAGAATCCATCCTCTAAGCATCCCCCATTTCTTGATTATGGCTCCAAACATACGGAGAGATAATGACCTAAAGGGATCTCATCTGATGCGTCTCTGGGCCTCTCCTGCCCTGAGCCCAGCTGCCTCTCCCAGTTATCACAGGTAAGGAAGTTAGGAGTCCAGACTTTGGAATCACACAGCTGAAATCCACTCCTGGCTCCTTTCTAGCAGAATAACCGTGACCAAGTTTGTAAATCTGTTTTCTCATCCGTAAAACAGGTGATTATCGTGCCTGCCTCTCAGCAACTAAAGGCTTGTTTTGCTCAGAGTACAGTGGGTAGCTACCTGTGCAGGCCCATAGATGAGATATCTTTCACGCCAAGGCCCGCAAGGGGTTGTGGGCCCTCCATCCCTTTTGTGGCATTTCGCCTGGTGTGTGCGTGCCGGCCGGCGGGAGGGAGGGAGGTGTTCCTGGGCACCAGGGGGGCCAGAGGGGCCAGAAGTCACCCAGGGAGAAGAGAGGGGCCGGGCTAGGCTGGAAGAAAAGGTCTGCGACACAGCGGCTTTCCGCGGCCTCCCTGCAGACGCACAGCCCTCTCCCCCCCACCTGTCCGCCTCCTCTAGTATTTTCCTTCTCCCTCTCCTTCCCGCCCCAGCTTTCTCCTCTAATTCTGCGGCTTCCCCAAGTAGAAGGTGGGTGTGGGGGGCAAGGGCAAGAGAGCCCCTGGACTAATGTGGGGAGAGGGGCCTCCTGCCCAGACTGCGGTGGAGGAGGGGGCGCCCAGGTCTTTGGGGGGCCCGGGAAATCCCCAGAAATAAGGGCGGGATCTGGGCAGCCCGAACTAGGCTGCCAGGGAGTCGCCGAACCCGCAACGGTAGCCCACGGAGTTCCTGAGACAGCGGCGACTGGGACTTCCAGTGCAGGGGGCGGGGTCAGAGGGGGCGTGGTCTTTCCAGGAAGGGGCGGTGCTCAGGTTATTAGGGCTAAACTTCGCCGCAAGGGGCGGAGTCTAGAGTGGGCGTGGCTTTCCTGGAGGCGGGTCAGGGGCG